TAACATATTTATTAATATAAAAAAGGATAAAAAAGTAAGAGCTGTTCATTTTATGTTTAGAGTTAAAAATATTTCGTTAAAAATTGTGAAATATATACAAGATATATACAAGAAATATATACAAGATGTCCCAAAAATATTGAAACATCCGTAATCTAAAGATTTCGGTAATTTTGAACAACATCTTTTTTTGCAAAAACTTTCGTTACGTCTTTGTTAACGAATTATTAATAAAAAACACTAATCATAGAGCGCATACCTAATCGAGCCGTAACAATATCGTTGGCTATGTGCAATCGTTGAATATTAGATATAATAAATGAATATAAATATAAATATTTTTCTTATCGATTATATAAAAAATTATATTGAATTATATCATGAAAAAAACTATATATAAAAACTATATATAATATACATTCTACTATATATAATAATATACATAATATAACTATATATAATATACATATATAATATACTTAATATACATTCTTCGACATATATTGTGTTCGATCACCGGCACATAGCTAATGCTATTATACTATACATATATATACATTTCATTATATTCTATACATATATTGATAAAATTTCATTATAATTATTATTCTTGAATTTAAAAAGTTTCAACTTTTTATTTTTTAAAGAATATTTAAAAAATTTTTTTCATTCTTAATGAATCTTTTAATAAATTTATTTTTTAATAAAAATTTCTTTAGCAAAACATTATTTTAAAAAGATAAAACGAATGCCTAAAATATTACTATTTTTTTATTCTCTATTATAATATTTTTAATATATTATAGTATTTTTTAATATTTTGGTAGTAGTAAGATAGATAAAATTTTAAATTATAAAATATTTAATTTTTTATGATTTTGTTGTGAAAAATACTTCCAAATGAAATTATATTCAAAATTTTAAAAATATTGAAATCTTTTAAAAGATTTTTACTTAAGAAAGATTATTCGTCCAAAAAAATTGCTCCATGCATAAATCTATACAAACTATGTACTATATGTACAAACTTTTAATAAAAACCAAAATTTTTAAATATAATGAATTTTTTTATAATATAAAAGATTTTGCATTTAACTATGTTTAGAAAGATATGTTTTTCGTGAAAATATTCATTAATTTTAAATTTTAACTTTGAAGTTATTTCAAAATCATGTTATTAAAAATTTATTAATTAAAATTATATTAATATATATATAATATTAGAACAATACCATTTAAAAAAATCAAGGTATTTTTATATTTTATTAAAAATTCTTTGAATAATTCTAACACGGCAATTTATGGAAAACTGATGGAATTAAACTAACTAACTAATAAAATTTGTTGGTCGAAATGATCTTTCTCAGATTATAAAATTATTGATTAAATATATTTTTATATGGAATACTGTATATAAAAATTAAAATTTATTTAATTTTTTGATCTATGTTGCACTATATTTCTTTTTTTATCAAACGCAACATATTTATCAAATAAAAAATTAAATTATTGATTTATATAAAAATATAAAAATGATTTATATAAAAATGATTTAATCATTTAAAGTAACAATAAAATAAAAATACTGAAATAAATTAAATTTAAATCTAAATTATACATATATGCACAAATAAATATGAATATGAAAAACAATATTTTTTTGATATGTATATCTACATAGATCGCATCTCATCCTCGATTAGTAAAATACTCAAAATTGATATTTATCGATATCGCGATTTTTTTCGTTTGTTCTTTCGCTTTTCTCGTTCACTTTTTGTTGATGCCACTTGTTACTTATATTGTTCTATTTGCATACATATGACTATATTTTTTTCTTTTACATATAGAATGTAATAGGCGTCTGTATAACAGCTGAAGATGCATCATAGGGGAGGCGACAGAAAAAAACCATCAGATTGTGACGCAATGGTCAGTTCAGTTTCAATCTGCATATACTCTATTTAAAATATATACTTTTTACAATTCTCGATCTTTATCGATTTACATCTGAAAAGATAATTGAGGTAAAGGATAAGAATGGAAAAAAATTCATATTCTTAATATAAGTGGTATTGATTGCATTTTTGTTGACGCTTTTTTTACTATTTATAATTTATAAACAGTTAAGAGAGTTTAATTGGGAAAATTTATGCAGTGATTTTATTAAATTCCATTTATGTTGTATGATGAGAATCTTGTAGACGTTCATGTTCGTTAATTTTACAATATTAATTTGGAATATGTGAAACGTAATTGCATATATAAATATTAATATATAAAATATAACTTTAATTACATAACAAATAATAGAAAAGAAATAATATATAAAGAAAATTTATATTTATAAATTTTATATTTTTATTTTTATATTTATAATATATTTATATTTTCTTATATTTTCTTTATATTTATATTTTCTTTAGTAAGTATATATATAAGTAAGTATATATAGTTATATATATAAGTATATATAGTAAATATATATATATATAATATAGTTATAATAAAAAGATATATAAAAAATAT